TGCCTCCACCCTCATTTGCCCCACTCTGGGCCATTGAGCAAGGCCTTAACCCCCACCATCTTCTCCTCCGGACACCCTAGACAGCAGCTCTCTGCTCCACACAGAGGGCTGTGGTATCTCGGTGGTCTGTGGTTGTGTTAGGAAGCACAACCGGTGTAAAAATAATTGCCAAGTCTTCATGCGACTTAGTTCACTGTGGTGACCCCTGAAGAAGGGAGCTGCTGAAAGAAAAATAAATAAATAAATAAATTTGAAAAAATCTCAAATCCTTTTTCAAATTGTCATAATGGGGTATTGAGTGAAGATTTTGAGGAAAGAGATTAATTTAACAATTTGGAATAAATGTTAAATGGGCTGTACTCATATAGCACCTGTCTTTCTTATCAAGATACTCTAAGCTCTTTACAACACAATCTGTGTCCTCATGTACCCGTTCATACAGCGCTTTACTAAATCTCTCCAAAGAATAATCAGAGCTTTATCACATTCATACACCAATGGGACACACATCAGAAGCAATGAGGGGTTCAGTGTCTTGCCCAGGGACATTTCAACATGTGACTGTTGGTGGAATTGAACCTTCAACTCTCCCATTGCAGGACGACTGCTCAAACCACTCAGCCACAGCTGCCCCAAATAATAAGAATAAGACTGTAACAACAAAATGTGGGAAAAGTGTGAATACTTTCTGGAAGCATTGTATTTACCAAAAGCATCAAGCAATAAACTGACAAAAGTATCAAATATTTGAATAAAATGCATTTTAATCACCAAAAGTTTTGATTATTTTTACACAAACTCCATCCTCCTTTGTTTAGTCCATCAGAGTTCAGTTCCTCTACAGGTCATCATGGAGGTTCTGTTTCAACAATCTGTCCTTTTCTATCTCCGTGGAAGCTAACGCTGAAAGACGAGTCAGCTCTGGCATGTTTCTGGCACGTTTTGATTTCTCTTTAGAGCTGAGGATGTCCACTCGACCTTAGAGGTGCAGGTTCCTAGTTCTGACCAGTCTGCTCTCTGACCGTCCAGTCAAACCACGTTAAAACGCTGACATTGTCTGATGCCTGCTAGAAGCTCAACGTCTGATTAGTCAGAGCAACAGTTTCTTTCACACTACAAGCGCCTGCATTGTTGATTCTGAAGGCCTCGAGGCAGATTTCTTTGACCCTAGCAACAGATGATCATCAAAATATCCATCTATCCATTATCTTTACCTGCTTCTTCCTTTTCGGGTCCGGGGGGGTGGGGGGTGGGGTGTCCCTGGTGCCCATGTCCAGCAGTCACTGTGCGAGAAGCAGGTGACACCCTGGACAGGTCTCCAGTCCATCACTCACAGGGACACATAAAGACAAACAAGATGAACACCATTCACGCTCTCTCTCACCTAGGGACAATTTAGTTACCAGTCAGTCTAACATGCATGTTTTTGGTCTGTGGGAGAAAAAAAGGCCCAGTAAAACAGAAAGGCCCAGTACCGAGATTTGAACTTGCTCACTGAGAGGCGGCAGCTCTACCAACTGCGCCACCGTGCTGCCCCTGGTCAAAATATGATTGGATAAAAGCCCAATATAAATGTAAGGTGCTGGAAGCTGTGCAGCCAGGAGAAAAGCTATGAGATGAGGAAAACAGACAATTTAGAATAATATTAATTAATAGAAAACATTTAATAAAATGTAGATTAGTGATGCCAGAACTGATTCATGCCCACAGAACCCCACTTGAAAATGTCAGAAATGTTCCTTTAACAGATCTGTTCTTTGACTTTATTTTTCATAATTACATGAATATTTGGTTTTGCTCTGATGTATGCTGTTTGGACAGCAGCCATGTTGGATCTGACTGAAACGCAGAAAGACAGGCAGACCGACAGACAGGCAGACAGACAGACAGACCGGAAACTGGCAAGCGGAGGAGGATGATGATGGTGGTAACCCCTCACCTACATCACCTCCTGTAAGCTCCTCAGGGCCTCCTCTCCGGCCAGCTGTCACCTCCCGGCATTGCTCCAGCAGGCAGACACACGTAGGCGCGGATCCGACCAGCCCCCTTCCTCCTCCGGCTCAGTGTGGAGCCTGCGACCCGCCGCCGCAGCAGCAGCAGCCCGGACAGAGCACACAGGGTGAGCCCCATTTAAAACACATACTTTCATTTTGTTCTGTTCAAACCGGAGTTGTTTGTGTTCGGCGCAGCCGGTCGGAGCCGGCCGCCTCTCGACGGTTGTGTTCCTGCATCTAAACCTCCCAAGCGACGAGCGGAATCACTCTGTTTGAGACTTTCTGTAAACCTCGGGCTTAATTTCACTCTCAGTCGTCGTGTTCTCCAAACAGAAGCTAACAGACACGACTCAACGGGTCATATTCATCGACAGTGCGAGCTGCGTTACAATAACATAAATGGCGGCACGAGGTGGCCTTATGTTTATCCCTTTTTGTTGTTGTTAATTTTTAATTAGGGTGTTTACACCTACTCGATGCCCCTCCTTATATTAATGTCGTGTAATGCATCTTCAACGTAATTTAACGTTTTCGGAGCGCTTTAACGTGACTTTATTTATTTAAAATCGTGTTATTTTCGGCCACTGTCCGGCGTCGTCCCTCCCGGTGAAGCTCGTGTCAGAACACGTTGTTGAACCGGGGGGTGTGTCCCGGAGCAACAGGGCCCAGCCAATCAGCGGGCACGTCACACCCACACTGTGGCGCTTGTTTACTACCAACGCCGAGCGCTGATTGGTGGAGAGCGGGGGGCCAACGCTCAGTGCTGATTGGCGGAAAGCGGGGGCAAAGGCTGAGTGTTGATTGGTGGAGAGCTGGAGGCAAACCCTGTGCGCTGATTGGTGAAAAGAGTGGGGGGGGGGGGGGGAGAGTTAGGCTTTGTGCTGCATTCGGGGTACGTGGAAAAGAACTGGCCGTGGCCGCATGTTGTCAATGAGTAAACAACGTTTAGCACGAATTAAGCTTTTTTGTTGTTGTTGTTGTTGCTAATATTATTTTTATGTGTACTTTAAAAAGGACTGTTTATGTAAGGATTTTATTTATATACATTTGCCCACCTTATTCTAATGTAATTATGTTTTGTACTTATAATTTAAACAAAAGAAGACATACATTAGTCAAGATTTTAATGTTTTAACCATTTCTCTTTATTTGATTGAAATATGTATTTCATTCTCCATTTCCTGTGAAATCCAAATCCTGTGAAAGTTTCCAGGTGTCATCATAACTACTGAAACTCTTCTGGAAATCTTTGTATTTGACATCCTAATTATGGAATAAAGCACAATAATTAATGTGCCATCTGTGCTTTAGACATTGTTTTGAGTGTTTCGGGTGTTTTTTCCTGCATTATTTTCATTTCTTGAGTTGACTGCAGCTTATCTCTGGTTGCAGGTCAGATTACGTGTTATCAGTCACATGCTTCAAGAACTGAACCACATCTAGACAGAGTTTAGTCATTAACTACATCTACTCAAGTTCCTGCCTTCATTTTCCAAATTCCTGTGGTGGGGTTGTGCATGTGGGTTACCTGTGGTGGCCATCTTGAATGGCACCGACTTCAAAAGTTAGTTGTAGAGAGGTGATGGTGATCATGTTGTGAAGGTTTTATTTAAAACGGTCCAGTGGTTCACAAAATGTTTTACTAACAGGACTCAACTGACTCCGACTGTTAATGCTAAACAGACGTGCACATGAACACGCCAAGATGTGGGACAATAGTTAAAGCACATATAAACAATGAGTTTAAAGAACATAAGTCTAGGTTAGAGCTAGAAAAAATAGAGATTGACATCAAGAGTGTCTGGATTGATGAAGAAATTAGGAAGTTATGTCAGTTTTAGTCTAAAACTTCCTTTGGATTAACCTTGAAAAAAAACAACCTTGTGATTGACCTGCAGCAAACCAACATAATCTTCTTATTTCTTGACGTATTGAATGAAATTTTCAGTAAAAGTAGGAAATGACATGTTCTCAACACTGGCTGCATTTAATCCCAATTAATTAATAACTAAACTGTATGATAGAACTATCATGCAAAGGAAATAGGCACTAATTGTCAAAGTAGATGGAAATAAACATGATTGCTGGATGTGCATGGCAGGGCTTTCGGCCTCGTCTTGTTCAGGGTCTCGGCGTTAGATTGTCATGAGTCAGTATTTAGATAAAATACTTTTTTTAAAATCTACCTTTGATTGAGCGATGTGAACCCGAGCGTGCTTTTTAAGCTGGCTGCACTACAGAACGTGCCAAACTCAAGGCCTGCAGGCCAAATCTGACCCTTGTTAACATTTTATCTGCCCCCCCAAGATAATATTTTAAATATTAGGAGGAGCTCAGTTATCTGGGTATCTTGTTCCTGAGTGACAGTAGGGTGGAGCAGGAGATGGATCAACAAATTGGGGCCTCGTCCTCATTAATGAGAGTGTTGTTTCAGTCAGCTGTAGTGAAGAGAGAGCTGAGTCTGAAGGCAAAGCTCTGGATTTAATGGTCTGTCTACGTTCCGACCCTCAGTTGTGGTCCTGAGGTTTGATCAGGACTCAAAGAAACAGATCCTGGATCCAAGCTGCTGAAATGGGAGGTGGGGGGGCTCAGCCTTAGAGACAAGAGGAGGAGGTGTTCCGTCATCCGGGAGGAACTTGGAGTAGAGCTGTTGCTCCTCCTCCTCAAAATGAGCCAATGGAGGAGGATCATCTTGTTAGGATGTCTCCTGGACACCTCCCTTTAGAGGTTTTCCAAGCACATCCCACTGGGAGGAGGCCCGGGGGAAGACCTTGAACTCACTTGAGGCATGGTGAATTGTCTCTGGCCTGGGAACTCCTCGGGCCCCCCAGGATGAGCTGGAAAGTTTTTGTACTAAAGCTTTTTTACTTTTTGAAACTGAGTTTAACACTCGGGCGCTAGAGTGACGTTTTCATCACCGATGAGCCACATGAAGAAACGGCAGAACAATCAAAGACGTGATGGAAAAGAAACTTTCTACATTAGAAGGAAAATGCTCCCGATGAAACAATGATTAGAGGGAGTCTCAAGCACACCTTGAACGTGCACATCTGTCGTGACGCAGGGTTGTCTCTTAGCTGATGAGTCCCTGGACTTGTAGAGCAATCAGATGTTGTCCTTTTTTGGAATGTGTTCCAGGTGTCTCGTCCTCAGCACCACTGCACTGAGTCCCTCACTGTGTGCAGCAGCACCACGGCAGCTATGGGACCAGAGGACAGGACGGGGACAGGCAGCCTGCTGGGACAACAGGAGCGGGTGTCTTCAGTCATACGCAGCAGCAGCGAGGTGGAAGTGCAGCCGACTCTGGTGAGGAGATGTGAGGTCCGGTGCTGGTCCTGGGACGGCTGCCATCCTACATGTTTTAGTTGTTTCCGATCTGCAGGTCTTCACATTCTGCAGAGTTTGTTAATCGCTCCTCGTTCAGATTTGGTGCGTTGCAGCAGAGAGACGTTTAAAACGTGCAGGACAGGTGGTCTCCAGGACTGGACTGAGAATTCCTGATTTGTTCTCAGAAACTGCAGTTATAGGTTTTTGCAGTCACTATTAATGTGTTGTTTCATTGTTGTCTTGCATAAAGTCACAAGACGGCAACGTTCATGGACGCAGAGGACAAGTTATCTTTTGTTCCGTTTTGCCACCTGCTCAGACACTGGCAGATGTTGCTGAGAGCAGGCAGGACGCCTCACACAGACATGAAATCTGTTATTTTCATTTTAGGGTGTCATACTTTAAAAACTTCTCCCAAATAGTCTTAAAAGGAAAAGTTCAGACACTTTGACGTGGAGTTTGCAGTGAAAAGTAATAAATATCTTACTTGTTGATCACTCTTTATGCAACTTGTTTGGAGAATATGATATTGGAATTACAGAAACAGCTCTAAATTGATTTAAATCATATTCATCTGATAGATTCCAGTTTGTCGATGTAAATACCATATTTTTCTTTGTATAAGTTGCTGTTTTTTGCATAATTTACATGTCCTGCGACTTACAGGCTGAAGCAACATATTTATGGATTTTTCTTCCCATATTTATAAACCAATTTTTGGCTGAGATATGACCTTTTTCATTCATTCTGACTGGGGAAAAAAGAGCAGTACCACTTTCAGCCACTTGACGGCAGCAGAGTAGTAATAGAAATTTGGCATGCTGTTGTATCATGTAATAGGAAAACGTGGCTATAATGACAAATTCAAAAAAGTTAAAGACAAAAACAACTGGACTTTATGTATTATACTTTATATTTGATTGTTTTTTTAATTTAATTTAATTTTGAATTTATGTCCTGGATGACTGAGAATCCTCACCAGCTTTTAATGATACAATTGGCCTGCCATAGCCTCATCATCTGCATACATAATTTTGTTCTACCACATGTGGTGCGAACAACAATAAAGAATCTCTGACTCTGACCTTGGTGCTGCTTGAACCGACCGACAATCCAGCTGCACCACCCCGGCAAAATGCTGCTAATTTTACCATTAAAGTGCATTTATTAAGCAAATGTTAGATTGAGACACACCTTTGCTATAATTTCGAGCAAACAGATAATTTTTTTACATGGTTATTTTGTTAAATTTTAAAGAAATGCTGCGGCTTGTCAAGCTGCATGTGCCCACTTTGCAGCACATCAGCAGCAATCTTCTTTTTAAATGCAGCTGATTTGACCATTAAAGTGCATTTATCAAGCAAACGTTAGATTGATATACACTTTACTATAATTTCGAGCAAGCAAATAATTGTTTTTAAGTGTTAATCTTTTTAAATTCTTGTTAAAGTCCTCCTGTGCATGCTCCCGTGGCCGCCATTTGGTGGCCCTTTGGTTTTTGGCACAACACAGGCCCAAATTTCTGGGTTGTCAGCGGTGACGCGTAACTAACGCAACGCGTCAGCAGTGATGCATAATAGATTCGACATATACGGCGAAGCGACATATTTATGGATTTTTCCACTTTATTAGACAAATATGGACTGATACAACTTATATGGTGGTGCAATGCGTATGGCGGAAAATATGGTAATTAGGGGTGCACCGATTTCTAAAATGTCTGACCTGCCCATTCCGATTTTGACCGATACCAATTTTGTTTTATAAGCAACACTGTCAGGTGTTATAAGGTCACAATGCACCTTCAATTTTCCAATATTATTTCATTGAAAAGCATGCCCTTGAACAATATCCTAGAAACAAACAAACTTGTTTTAACTGGCCAAGTGCTCTGAAATATAAATTAAGTTTAGACAGACAGTTGTTAAAACTACAAAAAAATTGGTAAAATGGGTTTCTCATGTATCGGCCAATTCTATTTCGTATAGGCTTCGCCCTGTAAGGCTGTCGCTGGTGGGTTTTATCCCGTCATGCAAAGCATCGCACTGAAAAATTTAGTCCACACCCACCTGTTGTGTGGGCCCCACCCGGTCCGTATAAATTACGTTAAGAGCGGGTAATCGGCTCCCATTTTTCTTCAGGAAGCTAATAGCACTGTCAGAAGAACGAAGAAGGGAAGTTCATTTGATTAATAATCAGTTCACTTGTTATTATTAATCTGTTCATAGTGATCAGCCGTGAATCTGTTGGTTTACGGCCTTCTTTTTCAGCATCTTCCTTTCCCCGTTGAAAGCTTTCCGGGGCGCTCATGCACTCAGAACGCATAGCTACATAGCACGCGTCTGTGCATTGTATGCATAATTACGCAACGCGAAATTACGCACATGGAGTGCTGAGTGACAAGACGTTTTGGGCAAGTTGCCGCATCGTATGGTGTTCGAATGGACCCAGTGAGGCGAGAACTACATCTGCTTCGCCCTTAACCCACCAGTGACAGCCTTAAAGGGCGAAGCCTATACGAAATAGAACGTTGGTTACGTACTGTAACCCCAGATTCTATGAGTATAGGCGTAGCCCTTTAAGCGTCGGGCCTCACTGGCTCCTAAATGGCTGAAGAAAAAGCTATTTGGGAGCCGATTACCCGCTCTTAACGTAATTTATACAGACCGGGTGGGGCCCACACAACAGGTGGGCGTGGACTAAATTTTTCAGTGCGATGCTTTGCATGACAGGATAAAACCCACCAGCAACAGCCTTAAAGGGCTATGCCTATACTCATAGAATCTGGGGTTATAGTACGTAACCAACATTTCTGATTTCCCAAAATTAAGGAAATCGAGGCCAGTAAATCAACTGGCCGATTTATCAGCGCACCCCTATAGATAATGAATCTTTATCATACATCAAAGTTAGTCGTGGAGTTCCTCAAATTCAGTGCTTGGACCAATACGATTTACTTTATATATGCTTCCATTAGGTAAAATTATTAAACAGCATGGGATAAATTTTTGTTGTTATGCTGATGATACACAGTTATATTTGTCCATGAAACCCATTGAATCCAGTCAGCTACTTAGACAAAAGCATGTCTTAAAGACATAAAACCTGGATGACCTTAAATTTTTTGCTTTTGAACACAGACAAGACTGAGGTTTTGGTTTTTGGACCTGAGCAAGTTAGGAATTAATTTTTCAGTCTTTCTCCCTCCTTAGATGACATTAATCTGTCCTCCAGCTCTAATGTTAAAAATCTTGGTGTTATTTTTGATTAGGACATGTCTTTTATCCCCAACATTAAAAACGTTACTAGAATGTTACTCTCAGATTCTGGTCCATCGCTGCTGTTTTTGAAGCCAAACTTTTTCTTATGCTAGTAAGTTTGGTTCGGCTATAATTCATATGCTTAAAGCGAGCAGAGTTGGGCTCTGAGCCGATTTCAGAACCAAAAAACTGGATTTTTCACCAGGAGCCTGGGATGCTGCAGCCCAACTGTGCACGGCCATCTTGGCTAGATGAAACCTGTATAACCTGTATAAATAAAGGTAAAAAAATATATAATTAAAAACAGGATTAGCAGCAGAACACATTTCTTTCTGCTCTGCCATTGGTCAGTGCGGCTCCACTCAGCTCTCCTCTTCTGGGTTCTTCTCAGGTGGAGCTGATTCATCACCACACTGGGGTCCAACCTGTTTCCTCTCTGTTGGCGGCATCATAACTGGTCTTTTTGTGTTTGAGCCTCTCGGCTCATTGTGGTCCTTAACTGTCCTGTAATCAGACTTCAGTTTCTTTAGCTTATCCCGGCACTGCTCATTAGTCCGGGTGTAGTCATGCTGCTCCATCATCTCTATCTCTTCTCTTGGAGCAGTTCACTTGGAACCACTAACAAGGTGGTCCCTTAAACCGGGCTGAGTGGGGGTGGGTGCTGGCAGTGGAGAGGCTCTAAACTGGTGTGGTGTTGAGGCAGCAGCAAAGCACCATCTGTAACCAAAGTCTGTGTTTTGTTAGAGGGAGGTTTTTGAAAGTGTTTGTGCTACACATCATGGCTGCTTCAGCTTGGGTCCTCTAACGAACAGTGAGCTTGTCAGTGTGGTCAGAATTAAACCGTGTTTCAGCAGATTGAGGTCACTCACAGAGCTATCTACAGCAGGTAAGAAATTAATTCTTCATACCTTTCCTGCAGAACTCCGCTTTAAACGATCTGAACTGTCACATTAAGCAGTGTTTGTCCCTGATGCCTCCTGATTCTCAGAGAGTCTCAGGTTTGAACCTGAAAGCTGATGGTGTTCCTTCCTCTCTGCTGCAGGTGCACACACAGACAGGCCACCACAGTAGCAAGGTGTCCGGCTGGAGGGGTAACCTGTCTGCTCCTCTGCAGCATCCTGCAGCCGCTGTACACCCGAGCAAAGTGCCGGTCGCTGGGGACGCCCCCTACAGGTGAGACATGCTGCAGCAGAGCAGACTGCGATGGAGATCCCAGTTTGAACTAGATCCAAGAGTGTTTCTTTGTGTCGATTCCAGCTTCAGGAGCCCGGAGTCGGTAGAGATGGATGAGATCATGGCAGCCATGGTTCTTACCAGTTTGTCCTGCAGTCCCGTGGTCCAGACCCCCCTGCAGACAGATCCTGGTCCAGGTCTGACCCACAGCAGTCATTTTATATTATTTGTAGAGCTGTTAACAACAATAAGAACAGATGTGAGGCTCCTACTTTGTGAAATTTTCATTTGACATTAATCTATTTGTATACACCGCAGGGCTCCTGGTCTCTGATCGAGCTAAACGTTCAGAAGTTAGTCGAGCTTGTTCCGTTTGTCAGCTGATCACTTGTAGATTAATTTAAAATTTGTCATTACACAAGTACAAGGCCATGAAATGCAGTTTGGCATCTAACCAGTAGTGCAATAAACAGCAGGTGCAGAATATAAAATATATAAAGGAGGACCATCAGCCTAAAGATGGATCATTAGCACACTGATAGCTGTTTACAATTCACAGGGGGCTGAGTGATACTAGCAATAACAGCATTGTAAGAGGGGGCCAGTTGAACATGGAGGCCTCCACCCAGGTTTAATGATGGACGGCTTCTCTTCACAAGGGGGTAGCTGTGACCGAGTGGTTAGAGCAGTCATCCTCCTTTGCGAGAGTTGGGGGTTCGAATCCACCAGCAGTCACATGCCGAGTGTCCCTGGGCAAGACACTGAACCCCTCATTACCTCTGATGTGTGTCCCATCGGTGTTTGAATGTGATAAAGCTCTGATTAGTCTCTTTAGAATGATTTGTTCAATTAGCTTTGTAGAGATCTAGTAGAGTGCTGTATGAACGGGTAAATGAGGCACAGATTGAAGTGTAAAGAGCTTTGAGTATCTTGAAATAAGATGGAAACGCGCTGTATAAGTACAGTCCATTTACCATTTATCATTCTCTCAAACCATCGTTCCTCTCTATCAAGCATGTGAACATCTGTCCATCATTAAACAGGTGTAGGCCTTCATGTCTGTCCCCCTCTTATGCCCCTTTTGCACTGCCTCTAATAAGCCCCAATTCTTGGCAGCCCGCCACAGAAAGAACCCTTTTGCACCAGCACTTTAGCTAATATTTTTAGCTGATTTGAGGCTGATTCAGGACCTCTTTTTGTTCCTGCTTCTCTGGTGGGACCGAGCGAGCTCAGTCGAGCTGAGTCGGGACCGAAACGTGAATAATGTATGATGTATGTATGATGAGCCCTATACATAACTGATAAAATACTGTAATCTACCAAATCATGGAACTTCAATAACTTCAGTTGATAAAATAATGTGCTTGATGGGTGACAGTAATGCTTTCTGGTGATAATTCTTACAGCTCTTTTCTGTAAAATAAAAATAGGTTTTGTAAATGTTTTACACGCTTTCCCCCCAAACATCAATGCAATAGATTAAATGTGGAACAATGATTGTGTTATACAATATGTACAGAGCTTTATCATTTAATAATTCCCTGACTTTGTATAGTACTGCAATAGATTTAGATATTTTTATTCTTACAGAATTTGTGATTTTTCCATGTTAGCTGTTCATCAATGATTACACCCAAAAATTTCATCTCATTAACTCTACAAATCTCAACACCCTCAATTTTAAATGGATCATCAACAGTTCTCTTTTTGTTACTAAATATCATGTATTTAGTTTTATCTAAATTTAATGATAATTTATTAAGTTTAAACCAAGTTTGTATTTTATCAAATTCTGTCTTCATCAATTCCAACATCCGTTTTACATCTTTACCCAAACAAAAAAATGTGGTGTCATCTGCAAAAAGGACACATTTGAGGAGTCCTGATACATTCACTAAGTCATTCACATACAAAATAAATAACTTTGGTCCAAGTACAGAGCCTTGAGGAACTCCACAAGTGATATTACACAGGTCAGATCTTACACCATTTATTTGTACAAACTGTTTCCTATCTTTTAAATAGCTAGATACCCAGTGTAATGCTGTCCTCTTATACCATATTTATTTAATTTTTCAAGGAGAATAGTGTGGTCAATAGTATTGAATGCTTTTTTTAAATCATCAAAAGTACTAACACAATACTGTTTTTGATCGACAGCAGTAGTTATTTGTTCTATTATTTCCATGAGAGCCATTGATGTAGAGTTTTTTGCTCTAAACCCATACTGACTGCTACTTAGAATGTTTTGTTTAGTAATAAATTTATCTAATCTGGTCACAAACAGTTTTTCTAGAATTTTTGAGAACTGTGGTAATAAGGATATTGGTCTATAATTATTGAACACACATTTATCACCATTTTTAAAGAGAGGAACTACCTTAGCTACTTTCATATTGTCTGGAAATATTCCTTTTGAAAATGATAAATTACAAATATATGTAAACGGCTCGATAACATAACTCATTATGTCCTTTGCAAACATCATATCCATGTCCACCCAGTCTTTTGATCTCTTATCTGTAAGATTCTTTACAACATTCACTATTTCTTCTTTGTCAGTTCCATTAAGAAAAATACTATTGTCACAACTTAAAACCGAATGGTTCACATTATTGTCTACTTTTGGTATTTTAGCTGCAAGACTTGATCCAACGTTAACAAAATATTGATTAAATCCATTTACAATTTCATTTTCATCATGGATTTCATCGTCTTCCTTCAAAAAATATTGTGAAATACCTGTTTTTGCTTTATGACTTTTCAGAACACTATTTATTACTCGCCATGTTGCTTTCATATCACCATTACTTTTATTTAATAAATCATTATAATATTCCTTCTTGTGTTTCCTTATAATCGCTACTAATTTATTTTTATACTTCTTCTATTTCTCTTCGGCCTCTTGTGTTCTCAATTTCAAGAAACATGTATACAAATAATTCTTTTTTTTTTTTTTTTTTTACAAGCATTTCTCAACCCTTTCGTCATCCATGGTTGATCAACAACATTTCTCTTTGTATAATTATTTTGCACACAATTCTTTTCATACAGAGCTCCCAAAATATTCATAAACTCATCATATGATCTGTTCACATCATCAACATACACGTCTTTCCAGCTTTGTTTATGTAAATCATCTTTTAATTTGTCCATTGCTTTTTTTTATGTTTATTGTTTTTTTCTTAATTGTAATTTCTTTTGTAATGCTTTGATCATTTTTATAAATTGTGAAAACTGGTAAGTGATCACTCAAATCACTCATTAAAATACCTCCCATCACATCCCCATTTGTTACATTTGTGAAAATATTATCGATTATTGTAGCACTATGAGTTGTAATTCTTGTTTTTTGATATTAACGGATAAAGATTTAAACTATACAATGAACTTGTAAATGTACTGATGTTATTTGAATCTGTTTTATTTCCCAGGTCAATATTATTATTATTATTCATTTTATATTTTGTTAATTTCTTGTTTATGAAGTTATGTTAATGATTTATCATCTATCATCTCCTGAGCTCATTTTAGTCTTTCCAGATCTTTCAGGTCTTTTATTATTTTAGCCTGAGATCCTTCATGTATTTTGATCCAAATGTTTCCAATTCTTGTCCAATTTGATGCTATTTTTTTCTGTTTTTTTTCAACAACCTTGCTTCACGTGCAATATTTCCATTTTTTTTAGTTAGAAATATCATGTTAGGGAGAAAGAAACCAGGTGACACAAGTTTTCTGGACAATAAAATTGGTAAAAATCAGTGATGGAGAAGGAATAGTAGACAGGAAAATAACAGAAGGAGATGGATATTTCTCCAAGAGGACTGTGAAGGAAAGGAGAAAAAAAGTTATGAATGGTGGTGGCACCAAGGTAGGAAGGAACCTGTGAATTATTTTGTTTTAATAATTACATGCAGGTTGACAAAACTGACGATTCTTTCAGCTTTTCGCTCTTCAGGGGTCACCACTACGAGTCATCCTCATCCATTTCACTCTGTCCTCTGCATCCTCTGTCCTCACTCTGTCCTATATGCATCCTCTGTCCTCACTCTGTCCTCTGCATCCTCTGTCCTCACTCTGTCCTCTGCATCCTCTGTCCTCCAACTACCTCCATGTCCTCTCTAACTGCATCCATATATCTCCTATTTTTCTTTTTCCTGGCAGCTGCATTTCGAACATCCTTCTACCAATGTACCCACTGTCCCTCCTCTGGACATGTCTAATCCACTGTCCCTCCTCTGGACATGTCTAATCCACTGTCCCTCCTCTGGACATGTCCAAACTATCTCAGTGTGTTCTCTCTAACTTAATTTCCCAGTTGTTCAACCTGTCCTGTACCTCTGATGATCTCATTCCTAATCTTTTCCATCCTTGTCACTCCTAAGGAGAACCTCAACATCTTCATTTCTGCCACTTCCACTTCTGTCTCCTGTCTTTTTGTCCATGTCTCTGTCTCCAGACTAGGGCATTAACAGAGTACTCGAGTAATCTACACATCGATTGCTAGGACATCTATCGAGGTTAAAAATGTTACGTCGAGTATCCGTAGTGACGTCATATTATGTGACCACCGTATGACCGTAGGGGGCGGTGTTGCACTGTTGCAGGTCACAGAGTATGGTGTAACACCGGGTCCAATCCACCGAACCAGAACCAGTTTCGGTTTAAGTTTCGTTTTTGACATGCTGCATGTTTCTTCACGTTTGCAGTTTAATAATAATAACTAATAGTTTAGTTTTTCCTGTGACTTATTTGCAGTATGATAAACGGTAGGAGCACAATATACGCTCCCAATGTTTTGTTGGTCTTTTTTTTGGTAAATAATTACCTTTTTTTGCGGTTTTATTTATTTATTTATTTTTGTATCTTAAGATCTATGACGTCATCAAATACTCGAGTTCTACTTGGGTTTTATTATGTTAATGTCGAGTTTAAAAATTATTTACTCGTTCAACCCCTACTCCAGACCAGACAACATAGCTGATCTCACCACTGTCTTGTAAACGTTTCCTTTGACAATAAAGTTCATGCTCAATTCTTTGTTGATACCGTTTTGTCTCATCACTCCTGAAACTGTTCTCCATCCACTCCTTCCTGCCTGCTTGTCCTGACCATGTTTTCTTGTGTCACTTGCCACAGTGTAATTTGTGTTGTGAAGGCTGCATGATGCCAGGTCGTTTTCTGTTATGAGTAAGTCTATCACTAAATCAGAAAAAAGTAAATTACCCCCCTAAATGCTCTGTTGGTGGTTGTTAAAATGTTTATTGGGTAAAGTTAATATTCTTATTTTTAAACATGCAGTTCATTGTCACCATTGCTTATCACAATGGCATGTTGTGTTACAAATAAAACTTAATAAAATGTTAAAAAAATAAAAGTCAAGTCATTGTCATTAAAGTCATTAAAAACAGGATGATGCAGATATGGACTAGTTGAATGAGGTGTCTCTAAAATAGTTATTGAATCAGGTGTTTATGTAGGTAAACATGGATGTTTAACAACCTGTTTAAATACACCAGAGTGCAAGAAATGGCATCTACTTTATTCAAAAATTTCTGGGGGAGGACCCCCAGACGCCCCCACTAGTGTGTCCCCCACACATTATAAATGCACCTGAATGGACACAAAAGAGGCGCCTGGACAAGCATAGAGGGCAGCCCTTTAAAAGGCTTGTCCAGAACAATTTTTTTTTTAAATTAGTTACTATTTAGCAAAATGCACTGCTATGTTTGGTTTCTCTGGTTGGCTTACTGCTGTTGGTGTTTGTTTATTGATTTTTGTTTGTTTATTTGTTTACGCCATCTTTGCTATGATGTCCTCATTAAATTAAGATATGTTAGTAAATGTTGTTTTTTTTTTTTTTTACCTGAAGCATATCTTTTCCCATAATTTTCTTCTTGGAGTATACCAGAATGCTGAATTTATATTAATTTACATGAATAACAAGCAGCCATCAGGGCTCTAACGATCAATTGTTAGGATGATGGTCCTCCTTTATCATGTGAACAGCTAGTTCTAGATGTCAACAACAAACTGGTTGAGAAGGTACTGTGACTGATGCAGCTCCTCAGACTGAAGAATAGAATAGAATAGAATAGAATAGAATAGAATAGAAAAGAAACAACCATTATTGTCCCACAGATGGGAAATTCAAGTGTAACAGCAGCAACAGATCTAAAGTTTCAAACAAAGTTCCTGAAATGTTAAAAATATATATAAAGAAATGAGATAAACAATAATAATAATAATATTCAATAATGTTCAATATGTATTGAACATTGAGAATGGCAGAGTATTTACAGTACAGTAGTAAAGTATTATTTTAACAAGAAGAATCCGTCCAGAGGACCTGACTCAACCTGGTTAGATGTTATTTTGATAATTCAGGATTTATCTTGAACACATTTACAAAATGGTAAAAATAAATCTGTTCCCTCTCTCATATGGGGTTCTTCTGAGCGAATATTAAAGCGGGAACATCTCCCATGTGGTCAGTTTGTTTTAGCATCAGGCTGCAACGTGAACTGAAGGGACCGTTTTAGGAGCAAGTTCATTTAGACGGACGGCGTAGGATAAACTGATGAACTAAAAGCTAGTCTGTTTGTTGTTGGTAAGATGATTTACAGAGGACCTTTGGGAGTCAACAAGAATCTGTCTTTAAATGTTTGACACCTGTCCTCTGAAGGACAGGCAGAGGACATGCAGCGCTCCCAAACACAAAACTTAAACAGAACCTTCACACGGACGTCAATTGAACTCCTGTATGTAAACTTTCTGTCTGACTGCAGCTGGATCGTCGTCATCGGTCGACATGGAGGGTGGAGGGGGGGAGCTGTCCGACAGCGGCAGCAGTGGGTATTGGAGCTGGGACCACAGCAGCGTTAGCCCCGCCCCCTCGCCGTCTGTCACCGAGGTGGACAGCAGCCCTGATGAAGGCCTGCACATGGAGCTGGACCACCGGGAGGAGCTTAGTGCCAAAAAGCCAAAGGTACACACATGCCATGTTACACTGCGAAGAGGCGGAGTCAAACCTCGTCCAGTGGATCATGAGATATTTTGCTAACAGACTGAGGCTTCAAACAGACATTACACAATGAGTTCATTGTTGTGTTTCTGTGTTTGTTGTGGCAGCCATCTTGAATCATGTCAGTTCCAAAACATAAATACTTGTAGATACTGTTTGAAAGTTTCAATAATAACCTTTCATGAGGTATTTTGCTAACAGTGCAGGCACACATCATCAGTCTGCCTTCAGCTACAGGCCAGTAAAAAAAAACATCTCGCAGGTTTTATTCTTCAAAATGTGAGGCTCAAGTGTGCGAAGATTTTTTTATTTATGTTGCACAGCGTTGATAACAAGAGAAGCGTTAATAATGACTTTCAGTGACACGTGAGCAACCGCAGCGGCGCCCTGTGGAGCTCCAGACATCATTCAGAGTCTAAACAGTCTTCTCTGTTTTCATACAACCATAATTCATGTTTTATAATTTAGAGTTTATCACTCTAACCTTTCAGATGTCTAATTTTCCCTGCGCTGTTTTTAGTGCACGTGCAGTTTCCACATGGAAACATGCGCACCCTAACTGATGTCGGGGTTTTCTCAGGTCCACTCAGAGTGAACCCGTCCGAGCTTCCTCTGACTTTATGTGCCGTTGAAGGCTGTGGTCTCCGTTCGTACGTCCTGCTGATGACGTCTGAGCCGCTCAAGATGATTTTACTAAACTTTTTAAATGCGTCATCACTAGACGGAGCGTCTCGTGCACTTTTCGTCACTCCAGCTCCAAGGTCAAGGTCACAAAGGAAGTCAAAGGTTAAACAAGGTCCTTGCTTGTCCAGACCGTTCCTGTAAATGCTGTATAATGTGCCGTCTGCAGTGCTCTTGTTGTTTTTGCTCCGTATTTGCTTCTCATGTTTGTAAGTGTCTAACCTGTCAGCTCCTACATGAAACACCGTTAACACGTCAAGCTTCACACGTGACATCAGATGCTTCGGCTGCTCTCAGCCCAAGAATTCTGAGGCTTACTTTTCAGTCTGTTTCTGTCTGCCTCTATTGTTTCTGTCAGGAAGTGAGACACAGGTGTGTGATGACCGTGGCGACCCGTTTCTTGCCATGCTGGTTGTGTTGCTGTAGTTGTGGGTCGTAGCTGAGTGTTGTGGTATTTTCCTGCCCGCTCTGACCCCACGCTGTGTTCTTCCTGTCGCAGAGCTCCGTGCGAAGCGTCTACAGGTGTCTGTGGCCCAGCTGTGGCAAAGTGCTCACGTCTTCAGTGGGAATCAAACGACACGTCCGTGTGTTGCACCTGGGGTGAGCTGCAGCCTCAAATATTTTACTAACAAGCTTTCTGATTTACTGGAGCTGTGAAAACGAGGAAATCACTTTCACTTTGTCAAAACAAACACAACGTTTCCTCTAAGAATATTTTTAGCTTTTGTTTTTAACACCAACTCAAGGAAGGAAGAAAAAAACGAACAGTCAACTGACTGTACTTACACAGCTCCTTTAGATCGAATGAAGATGTTCAAAGCTCTTTACAGCACTACACACACATTCATACAGCACTCTACTACACACACATTCATACAACACTCTACTACATATCTACAAAGATAATCTGAATCTGTAGAGATTAATCAGAGCTTTATCACATTCATACACTGATGGGACACACATCAGAGGCAATGAGGGGTTCAGTGTCTTGCCCAGGGACACTTCAGCATGTGACTGCTGGTGGAATCGAACACCCAACTCTCCCACTGGAGGACGATTGCTCTAACCACTCAGGCCCAGCTGTCCCTGAAGAAGTGATAGATCCTAAAATGAAAATGACAAGACGATAACAAAACGTCCTTAAATCTGATGGGAACAAAACAAACACAAAGTATATTTTTTTGGTGCAATATTTTACAAGAATTTAACTTTTGAATCACTTTTCATCTAGCGTTGGTTTTAGTGTATCAAAAAAAGTTCAATCTGGTCCTCTGGACATTCAAAAAAACAAACAACAAAACAAAGCAAAAAAATATAGAAACGTTTCGTCTCTCATCCGAAAGACTTCCTCAGTCTGAGGAGCTGTATTCAGCTCAGTCTCTTAAATAGCACCTTCTCAGAGTGGATCAAC